AGGGAACGCTCTCTTTCCGAATGTTAGCGGCGGAGTACGGCGCCGATATAACTTACGGAGAAGAGATTATCGATCACAAGCTTGTTAAATGCGAACGTCGAATTAATGGTAAGCTTTTGGTGTTCTTCTTCTTCGTGTGAATTTTGAATTGATTCAGTTTTTTTTTTTGGTTTTGTTTAGATTCATAGATTGTGTGGTTCTTCCTCTTATTGTAGTTGTCCTTGTACAGTTGCTTCCGGGACAATTGAGTTTGTGGAGAAAGGAACAGAGAATCTTGTCTTTAGCACATGTGATGAAGAAAGAAATAGAGTTGTTTTTCAATTGGGTACTTCTGATGCTGTTAGGGCACTAAAGGCTTCTGAGATCGTGTAAGTTTTTTAGGAATGTTCATATCCCACTTCACTCAGATGAATCGTATACGGATTTCGTTATGTTTCTCTTCTTCGTCGTTTAGGTGCAATGATGTTGCAGCTGTTGATATTAATATGGGTTGCCCCAAAGCATTCTCTATTCAAGGAGGGATGGGTGCTGCTTTGTTAAGTAAACCCGAGCTAATTCACGATGTAATATGGCTCTCTGTAGATTCTTTTCGCGTGTTTATACGTTTTGTTTCTTATCGATCGGTTTTAATTTTTTTCAATCATGTGGTATCTCTTCTCCAACTTAGATTTTGGCAACACTTAAGAGGAACTTAGATGTACCGGTTACTTGTAAGATTCGTTTATTAAAATCACCAGCAGATACTGTTGAATTGGCTAGGAGAATCGAGAAACTTGGTGTACCAGCTCTTGCTGTACATGGGAGGTAATGTACATCACTGTTACTGACTTACTACTTCAAATTCCTTTAAGCTGTTTTGGTAATTGATTCCTTTTCCATAAATATAGGAAAGTTGCAGACAGGCCGAGAGATCCTGCCAAATGGGATGAGATTGCAGATGTGGTCGCGGCATTATCCATTCCTGTTATTGCAAATGGGGATGTTTTAGAATACGGTGATTTTTCTCGCATTAAAGCTGCAACAGGTAGACTTATTGAATTTTTTATTCACGAGATTAGGAAAAATCTTTATCTGCCATGTGCGCTAATGATTATAGAGTTATATATTATAACCCTTTGATGTTGTTCCTTGCAAAGGCGCTGCATCAGTGATGGTTGCAAGAGGAGCTATGTGGAATGCTTCAATTTTCTCTCCAAAAGGAAAATCACACTGGGAAGATGTGAAAAAGAAATACCTTAGAAAGGTACAAAGAAAACTGTTCGATGAAGAGTATATGATAAATTTCGATAGTCAGAATTTGATTTGCAGATTTCGGGGTATTGTGTTGCAGAGCATCTTGTGGAATGACGATGTTAAGAGCACGAAATACACGATAAAGGAGATGATAGCACATCATTCTTGTCTTGAACTACCTGAAGGGAAGTCTATCAGCAAAGCAGACACTTTGGAAGATCTAGCGTAAGTGTTAACTCCTTTCTTTAAACTGCTTTCTACTGATAACGCAAACTCTCTGTTTGGGTATTTTTTTTACTAAAGAACGAATGACCTTAACCAAACCGAAACCTTAGTACATGGGGATCTTAATCCTTAAGGACTGGCTCGAGTCTGAGACCAATTTGGTTCAGTATCCAAGTCTAAATGTTGTTTGTTGGGTGTTGATGTTTCAGGCAGCTTTACGAGTTGGAAGATTACTATTGGACAGTGAAGAACATTCGTCCTCTGACACATGACTTGAATTATGTTTTGTGAAAGCCACACTTGCATTCTTCTTGTAATCTCTTATTAATTTTATATATAGAGGGATCCCATTGTTTTTACTTAAAACGAGGTTCGATTTCTCCAACCTTCGATTCTATCAGAAGTTACAGTTATACATGCTACAGTGAGCAAGAGCTTCACTGAGTTGAATTGTTATAGTAACTTCTAAGTGGAAATGTATAAAACGAAGAGAGATGATGAAAATATCCAACTTTCATATAGGACAACTAAAAATGGTTATAAATGAAAATGTATCCCTGATACGAAAACGTGGGTAATGTACGAAAATGTGGGTATGGGCTGACAACTGGATCCCCAATAACGATCCTCGTCCGGCAAAAAGTCTAATGGCAACCCCAAACCCGAACTTACGGGTCACGCTTTGGATGCTACCACTAAAACATGGAATTTGCCCATTAAATTTTTGTAACCATTGAATTTATTAGACAAAAATAAACACAAGTTTTTAAAATGTTGGTAAAAATTATAATTTAAATTATATTCAATAAATTTCATAATTTAGAATAAAATACATAACGACATATATATTACATTTTTTATTTCAAAAATATTTTTACTTGTGCATTCGGTACTATCCTTACGTTAACTAGTGAATTTTAAATTATCTAACTTCTATCTTCACTATAAATTATTGTTCTAAACAAAAAAAAAATTTTAAAACTTAGATTTAAAAAAAAAAATATTATTATAAATTTTGGTAATTTAAAAAATTAATTTCGTTTCCAAAACTAAAATTGTAAATATAATTAAATATTTATATTAATCTTCAAATTATGTATTTTGTTAAATTTTACTTTTTTGGAATTATTTTGTTGTTTTTGAATTTTGTAATTTTAGAAATTTTGGGACTTAAAAAATTTAATTATTATTATTTTTATATTTTTAAAATTTTATGGATTTTCTTTCAATTTGTTGAATTTTGTAAGTTTTTATTTTTTTGGATTTTTTGGAAAATAATTACAAATTGACCCCCAAATTGATAAATATTTATAAAAAACATCAATTTTGAACTTTTTAACATGTTTACATATATTTGGTGTATGTCACCGTGTATTATATAATAGTTTGTGTAGTTTATAACAAATTTCTATATTTGGGATGATTTCCAATGTATTTCACTATATTTGGTGTAGCTGGCATTGAATTTTGAGAAATTTAAAAAAATACCATTTTTCAAGTGTCACTTTACAAAAATGCAACACTTTTGAAATCTTTACAAAAATACCACTTTTTCAACA